TTTGGAGCTGCATCGGTGGGAGTAATGAAATAATTTGGATATATCAACAAAGTTGAAATGGTAAATTGGCCACTGTAATGATTACAAAAGCTGACGTTTTGAGCGTTAGCCCTAATTTGTCGCTCCCACAAAGGGCTAACGCTCGAAACATCAGCTTTTGTAATAGTTACAGTGGCCAATTTACCCTTTCAACTTTGTTGATATATCCAAATTATAACATTTAACAACACAAGCAATGTGTCTCACTGAAATTAATTTAGCACTTACATTTGTGGAAATCAAAAAGCTTGTCCAAGTATTTTCCCACATCTTTATCTTGAGCTTTTCTCTTTTCCTCACCCAATCCTGTGCAATAATCATGCACATCTTGTAAATCGGTTTACCTGCAGTAAACAACAGTTTCTTTGTACTGAAAATTGAAATGTCACAAGGAATCAATTATCTGAACCTTTTGAGACATTGTTTTGTTGTAATGTATTGTTATTTTGCAGTCTGGGGTTATTGTAATCAAAGTTGCATGAAAACTACATCTGATCCAGGAATTTAAAACAACAATCGTTTTTAGTATAATTATCATCAATTATACATAAGCATTCAAAACTAACACTACAAATTCAAGAACTTCATTTCACCTTGGGTATTTTAACAATAGGAAACACATCTCTCAAGAGATGACAAAAAGTACTGTAATGGATGACATCTTCATTCTCATCTTCCATATCAGCTTTCAAATAACCAAACATGATGGTTTTGTCCAGAAAGCTTGGAAGATACAATGCTCCCGTGTCAGGCATCTTATCGCCAATCTATGTCAAACAAGAAAGATTTATAGCACACAAACAAATCAGTTCAGCTTACTAGGCTTTCTGTTTAACTATGGCTGAGTGCACTGAGGTCAGTTCAAAGTAATCAGTGCAATATATTGCGAGGGATACTTCCACAAGTTTGCATTAAGACAGGCTCACATCTAAACAAAATGCCAAACGAAATTCGTTTTATTGTCGTATTCTATTGTTTTTTTTTTCTTCTTTTTTAAGAAGTGGAGAGTGGAGACGCATAGAACTTAATTAGCCACCTTTGTCAAGTTTGTCTATATACCATGGTTCAATGAAGAAGCAATCAATCTTAATAAGGCATTGCGTCGATCAGAGCATTCTTTACCCTTTTGAAGAATGCTTCCATCCAAGTTTCGGCCATGAGTCTCTTGTGACTTAAGTTCTTGCTCCTTGATTTTTGCAAAACTCTCACACCAGCGTGAAAATTGCGAAACGTTTCATTTAAAGCTGCTGCGCTAAGTCCAAAAACCACGCGGTATGCTGTACTGCATACTTTGTATCCACTAAGATAATAAGGGATGCTTTGAAGGTCACTTGGAAACAAACATAAGGAATCACGTTATAAAGAGATGGTTACAAATACGTTTTATCTAATTTAGTCTTATTAATGATTTAGACAATCTACGAGAAGAAACTTGTTGGTGCAACAAAAGGACAACATAAGATGTACTGTACTACCTTTCATTTGGTTTGGCATGTCTACATAGCCAATCAAGTACGATCTGCCTTTTTTGCAGCGAGTTATTGCCTTGAAGATTCGTACGTATCATGCACATCTTTGCAGGATCTATGGCTTCCAAGCCTTTCTCAGCACAACATCCAGATTTTGTTGCTATAAATATAGAGAAACTCACAGAATGATGAATATCTCTGAATCCAATTGCTCAAATATCCGTCAAAATCACGAGCGCGCTCTTGGACTGTCTGAGAACCAGGCTGAGTAATCGCCTTCGTGCCTTAATTTTGCAGTAAATGACTGTCGATCGCAAACAACAAAACAGCGAACGGCGGAAACAAATCACCCAAGTTTCCTCTCTCTACCAAAAACGACCAAAACGTTTACTCTTCCCTCACTTGTTCTGCTCTATGTGGCATAGCCAGAAACGAAATAATGGCGGATTGGTTGGGTTTTTTTTTACTTTAAGGATGCTCGAAAGAGTTTTTTTGACTGCGTGGAGAATGGATTCCAAGATACACGCAAGCTAATTACTCGCGAGAGAAATAAGCGATGGCGCGCGCGATCAGATCCGCGGGCGAGTTGTAAACAAACATGGCCGCCATGAGAGCGTTTAAGTGGATACCTCTGAGTGCTACGATTTGTTTCGCATTGAATTTGATTCCTGATAAAATGAAATGACCAAAAACTTTCCTAAACAACTCACTGGAAGATGAAAAGGAAAATGAAATCATTGTTGGATCCAGGATTGTAAACATTGACAGTTTTACGTATGATGCACGATCCTCGCAGTAGATAACGCTATTTACACAATAGCGAAAATCAGACCTGAAAAAAATCAGGCCTGTACGGGATTCACTGACCTCTGCGATACTAGTGCAGCGCTCTACCAATTGAGCTAACAAGCCAACTAGGAGCAAAAACCGGAAATAAAGCTTGCTAAGTTGATGAACTAATATCTCGAAAATTAGTTCAGTTACCTACCCTGATTTTTTGTGTACAAATTAATTTCATCATTACGCGTTCCTGAAGAAACTTTTAAAACAATTTATCTGGTGGAAATATTTTTACATTTTAAAACAGCATTTTCCTAAATAATTCAAGTTCTACTCGATAGTTTTTTTTTTTAAATCACGTATACAGGTAGAGAATGTGATGTTTAAGAAATTTGAAAAAAAAAAAAAAAAAA